CAGATTAGTCAGCTGGACCTCAAAGAAGCAAACATGTGTTTCAACCTCTACTGCTGAAGCTGAATATGTTGTTGCTGCCAGCTGTTGTTCTCAAGTGCTCTGGATGCAAACACAACTGAGAGATTATGGATTCAAAATGCAACCGATCCCAATATATTGTGACTCTAAGAGTGCAATTGCAATCTCTCACAATCCAGTCAACCACTCAATGACCAAGCACATTGATATTAGAAGAAGAGACTGCAGATGTGTTCACCAAAGCTCTGGATGAATCCAAGTTCTTACACTTTCTAGGACGACTTGGCATGCTTAATCCTGATTTTCTAGGCATTTGAAATTTTTTCTTTCTCACTTTTTTAAGAAAACTCCAAAAATATTTTATTTCCAATTCATTCTATGTTTGCTTTACTTTTCCAAAAAAAAAACCTCAAAAAGATTTTACAGTTTTACTTTACATAAGAGAAAACTACAAAAATATTTTATTTTCTGTATTGTATCTTTACTTTAAATAAAAGAAATTACCAAAAAGATTTTATCTTTATTTTTTTTAGGAAAATTCAAGTTGTCATCACAACTATGCAAATGAAGAAGGTTAGTTGCTCCACACTTTAATTATTTTTCAAAATACTAAATTATGTGGTTCTTCAGTTTGCTTCAGTACACAAATAATATTGGTACTTCAGTGACCATTAACAAGCTTCATGGTTATACTCTACTTAGAGTTTTAACATACAACAAGTACTAATGTTATGTGGGATAATTTGAGGCGAACTCTAAGGTTTAGTTAAGCCAATGTGTTATAGTATATTTGTGGCTTCCCTGTCCTAGTGAACTCATGCGACAAAAACGCGAACTTGTGTAGTTTGAGGGACATAAAAAGTTTTGCTTTATGAATATCTATACCCAATAAAAAGCTTCTTAGTTAAAACAAAGCGAGTCAAGTTCCAAGTATATATATGTTTAATTTTTGCACTTTGAGTCTAGTTATATATTCAATAAGTTATAGTTCAGGAGTGGAGTCAATCTGTGACCTATGAGAACTCGGCCAGTAAACCCCACGGGATATTGAGAATCTGTCCACCTACAATACATTAACGCGGATCGGACTGGGAAGAAGTCCGCTACATGGGTTTTCATAGAAAGTCATGGACTCCATTAGTGACCTAAGAGATTCTGAGCACTCCAATGAATTTCTTAGAAAGTCACGAACTAAAGTACAAATAGAAGTAAAGCTAAGAATTATTTGCTTGTTTACTTTGTCAAAGTTAGAGTTATAGGAAAAGATTCAAAAAAAAAAATCAGAAATCAAAAAAATTAAAAATAAAAAAAAAATAAAAAAATAAAAAAATCAAAAAAAATCAAAAAAGAAGTATAGTTATATTCTTAGGTCAACTATTATATATATTTTTTTCTTTTAAAGTCGTGTCACTTGGAATTTGGCGATACCTTTTGAAACAAAAGGAGTAAATGAAAAGGTATAGGTAGTAGGAATGCCAAAACTGAATGTTGTTCAAAATAAGTGGGGACCGTTTATGAGGATTGTCAGTATTTAGGGCTTGGGAAGTAACTAGGCCTTAGACACAAATATACGCATTGCGATGAGACATAATTGGTGAGTACAAATCGGGTTACTCTGTGTGATGTTAAGGAATTCAAAACATAATAATCCACAAGGGAATTCTTTACAATACGAAGTGAAGAATCAAACACATAATTTAGTTGCTTGATAAATCTGTAAGTAACAACAGATAATCCTTAATGTCTCTAAATCAGTCATTAAGTGTTTCCTTAAAGTTCTTGTTTCCACGTGCACACACTTCACTGCATTTTATTATTCCCTTCTCAGATTCTCTATCTTGATGCACACACATCACTTTCAGAGTTAGATTATTCAGTGTTTCCACTTTAATACTTTCTATTTAACTCATGCCTTAGAATCTAGGTAAAGCAGCTAAGTTAGATAGAGAATATTACTTACTTGATCATGGAACATCCTTAGCCAAGTGGATCATCTTATGACAATGGATCGTCCTTTTCAAGAAAACCATATGTGTTTGTCTTGTTTTTTGGAGCATTCTTGTATATTGTGAATAAGGTCATGATCAAAGGCTTTAAAGAACCATCTTGAAGCAACTTCGTGCACTTGGACCAACATGGAACAACTTCAGGTACATGGACCAAATTTGGAGCAACAACATACAACTTGGACCATCTTCGACCATCTCCTCATCTTTGGACCAAGTGGACGAATGAATGAGGCATCTTCATTCATCTTGATCATCTTGAGGCACGTTGGACGATCTTGATCATCTTGAAGCATATTGGACCATCTTATGGCATCTTGGAATATCTTCATCATCTCGATCATCTGGAAGTACCCTGGAGCAATTTCACCAACTTGAAGGATCTTGATCACTTGGACCAGCTTGGAGCATCATTAGTCATTTGGAGCATGTTCAAAAACGTTGGACCATGTTCAACAACATTGGAGCATGATCAAAAGCATAGGCACATGATCAACAACTTGAGGCATCTTCAGCCACTTGATGCATCACGCTCATATGGCTCATTAAGTCCAAATAGAGCATAATATATATGACATGTACGTTTTGAATAGGACATACACGTTTTTAGTATGCCATGCACGCTTCAAGTAGGCCATGCACAAGTCAAGTATGTAATGCACGTTTCGAGTTGGTCTTTCCTTAGGTGCCATGCACGTCTCAAGATATCATCCATGCATGCACCAACCTTTTCTTTCTTTATTCTCAAGGAATCATTCTCACGCTCGCGACTCAAGTTGAAATTCTCCTATTTATACTTGAGTACCATTCAAGCCTTATGGACCCACAAGTTGGCACATGTAAGCCCTATTTCAGCCCATTGAGAAACCCTAGAAACTTTCACCTATAAATACCTCACTTCTACTTCTCATTCTTGCTTTTTCACTCTCTCACAAATTCTTACTCTCATACTCGCTTGGATCAACAAGGCTTCATGAGCAACAATCGCGTATGCAACATGCAACTTCAGTTGGTAAGCAACAAGAAGCCTTGGCACAACAACAAGTTTGGCTCAACATCAACCCAATTTTCGAAAATCACTGTTGAGCCATAAGTTTGTTGTTGCAAAACCCTAATTTGGCTCAACAACCTATCCTATTTTTGAAAATCACTCTTGAGCCACAAGTTTTTTTTAAAAAACCCTAGTTTGGCTCAACAACCTACCATATTTTCGAAAAAATTCTTCTTGAGTCACAAGTCTTTTTTACAAACCCTAGTTTGGCTCAACAACAACCCTATTCTCGAAAATCACTCTTGAGCCACAAGCTATTTTGTTGCAAACCCTAGTTTGGCTCAACTACTCAATTCTCAAAAATCCTTCTTGAGCCACAAGTCTCAAACCCTAATTGTGATCAACAAGGATTTTGGATGCCCTCTTGAGCCATTCGTGATCAACAAGGATTTTGTGCACCCTCTTGAGCCAGTGGTGATCAACAAGGATTTTGAATGTCCTCTTGAGCCATCAAGTAATTTCGAAACTCTTCTTCATCCTCAACAACCCTCTCTTGATCATCAAGTAATTTCGAAATCCCTCTTGAGTCATCACTCATTTCGAAACCCTTCTTGAACCTCAACAACCCCCTCTTGATCATCAAGCAAAACCGAGGATATCTTCTTGAGCCATCTAATACCCTCTTGAGCATTCCTTACTTCACAAATCCTCTTGACCCTCACAACCCTCTCTTGCTCAACCATTTTTTTTCTACGTGATCATAAGGCACATCGATGATACCTTATTGAGCCACACATTTTTTTTCTTCTTGATCCACGTCTTCTACTTGAGCCACACTTCTCTTCTTGCGCCACATACCCTTTCTTGAGCAACACTTCAATTGTGATCTTGGCGCAACATCACTTTTGGCACAATAAACTCCTCCTGCGCCATAAGCATCTCGACACATCAAGTCATTGGCACAACAACAAAGTAAAAGCGACCTACAACATCTTGCACCATCAGCATCAAACCTTAGTGTCGTCTCTCTCCTTTGGCGCAAAGAGTCCTTAATTATCACAATATCTAATCTTGGATCAACCCCTTGGCGCATCATTCTCTTTGTGAGCATCTCAACTTCTCCTTGGCATCACACACGCCTGGTGCATCTCCTCTCCCTAGTGCGCCATCAACCCTAGTGAGTCTCCAATTATTTCTTCTTTTCTTCCTAGCACATCTAAACGTATATATTACTAAACCAACATCGGAGTGTACAACAACCCTTCCTGGCGCAACTTAGGTTTTGGAGCAATGTCATCGTGTTCAACAAGGCTTGGAGTAACATGTCTTCGTGAGATTTCTGATCAGGTTTTGGCGCAACACCAACTTCAGGCCGCCATTGACCCATAGCCAACTCTACCACAAATCATCTGATTTTGGCGCAACATCACATGTGCTTTCATTCTACTTGTGCCATATTCTTCTACTTGAAGCCTCTCTGATCAGATCATCTTTTTTTTGTTGGCGCAACTTTTTCTTGTTTCCATCTTGCACCATCACGAGTTCTTGGAGCAATATCAACACTTGACCATCGTAGATCCATAGCCAACTTCCAAACCCTACAACAACCTTGTACTAGTAGTCTCTTGGCACCATATTTTTTTTTTCTACTGCTCGTGTTCATTAAAAATCTCCAGATCTATTGGATTCAACAATCCCTTGGCGCATAATTCCCTCTTGTAAAATATGATCATCAAGTCTCTTGTCACCATAGGTGTATCTATGTTGTGTTGCCTTGTTTCTCTGTTTCTTATTGATTCAACAAGACATCAACAGGTTCCCCCAGTATTGGGATGTCACTTCTTTTAAATGAACACCCTTTCTTGTTGCAATCATCTTGGTGTTGATTCTTTGATCAAATCTTTCCTGTGAGCTTTATACTTATTGGTGCATATCTTGCTTTTCATACTCACAAGTCTAGTACCTACACCTATCTTTTTTAAGACATGGCTTCCAAAGAAGATGGACAGAGTTCTAAAGAAAAGTCTTCTCATAAGGCTTCACACTCTCATACAACTGGACCTTCAATTGAGACACACTCGTCATCACCTAAAATTGAAATGGCTGCATCCAACTATACTGCACTTCTCAACACTCAGGACCAACCCAAAGAAGTCGGTGTTATAGTTGAATATCTACAAAAATTCCCATTGGCATATGCACTTCTTTCTACTTCTCCAACTCCACAATCTCTTATCTCCAAAGTCTTTCAATCAGCAGTCATCGCCACAAGAGCAAGGTCCAAACAACTTGATGTTGAATTTAATCTGTTTCAAGCTACCTTGGTTCTAACTAAAGAAGAGTTCGCAGTCAGTTTAGGTCTAAGCGATATTCCTCCTAAACCTCAGACATTGGTCACACCAACTTCTTCTCAATTGTTGACAATGTTCAAGGAAATTGGATATAAATTTGTAGACAAAAACGAACCATGCCTTTCAAGAATTCAGAAATCTTGTCTTCCCACACCATGGCACTTTCTCAGTTCCGTCCTCACTAGATGTCTCTTTGGATCAGTTGGTGGACGCAGTAAAGGTAAAACAGACCTTTGGATTCTAATGTACGGGCTCTTCTACGACATCAATGTTGACTACGCGTCTATTCTTTGGGAAGATTTCCTCAATTCTCTCCCTGCCTCAAAGAATAAGTTTTTGATTCATAATCCTCGCTGGTGGTCTATCATTATTTATGATGGCATCAATAATAGTAATCTTGCACCAGGATGGATTCCAGAAGGCCCACAACCACATTTCCTGTGTATGACACCATATCGGATTCGTACGACATCTGAATCTGGGTCTTCATAACCAGTCATCATTCCAGATTCTATACTTACAAAGCTAGATGAAAATAGTGCTTCTCTATGCTCATATCAAAAGTACATCCAGGGAATCATTTCGCCTCCCAAAAAGAAGAGGAAGCCTTCTGATCATGCATCCAAGAAGTCGGAAAAGAAGAAAAAGAAATCCAAATCAAATCAACCGCCCCCTATCCCATCTCCAGTCGTCTCTGATGATAATGATGGAGCAGATTTAGAGGAACCAACATCTCTTCCTAAATCTGCTCCAGTTTCACCAGCACGTGTTCAGTCGGCTCTAGAAAGTCCAATATATCGTGTCTCCTTGGGTTAAGACTCACTTGAGCATGATAACCAAGATGATGATAACCAATCCGAACCTGAAGCTTTTCCTCAACGTTCTCCTGTACAAGATAATCACGATCAGGATACTCCAATGCGGAGGGTAGATATTCCTTCCAGTGAAGGACTGATAGTCGATGATGAGACAAATGACGTGTCCATTGTCCTTTACTCCAACGCATCTACCAGGACTTTCAGCATTGATCTTGATGACTACTCTCCTCCAATTCCAAGAGAGTCTCAAGAAAAGGATAACGTTTAAAAACCAAATCTCTCCTCCTGTCAGCAAGATCCTCTTCAGGACGATGATACTCCTAATGAAACAGATGAAGCCAATACCATAGAACCAGAACCTGAGCGCATAAGACTTACTGCCCAAATGGTAGCTGATGGTATTGCAAAAATTCCCTTTCACACATCTTCTCACTCTGAATATCTGTAGAACTTTCAAGAATATCTTGAATGTATGGAAGAAAGTATGTGTATCCTCAATGAGAAAACAAAAGCACGGGTCAAAACACTTCAAGTCACTATTGAAGATTTTGAAGGCACAACTGCTTATATTAAAGGACAAGTTGCTCGCAACATGCGGAGGATTGAAACTCTAGATCACAAAATTCATAACACTATTGAATCCTGTCTCTCTCCAATGAATCAGAAGATAGATGACTTCATACAATCCTTATCCAATCTAGAGTCTGTCTATGAAGCCAAATTGGATCATATGCATAATTATGTTACAGCTCAAGACCGCTATATCTCCACTCTTGAGAAGTCCATTGCTGAACTATCTAAAGCTTCTGCATCATCCTCCACTCTCCCTTTCAGGCGTTCAGTAAGCAAGTTCAACGTCAACTGGATTCTTTAAGCTCTGACATAGCAAATCTATCCAAATCCAATTCTGAGAAAAAAAATAGCTCAGCAGGTGATATATCTTCCCTTCAGAAGACTGTTCAGTTGCTAGTCGATGAAGTCAAGGCTATCAAGCAACAATCTTCCTCTTCAGATCTATGTGCTCTTCAACAAAAGATTGCATCAACTGATTCCAAACTTGACTTGATCTTAGCAAATCCATCTGGTTCAAATGAGAGGCCACCTGAACCAGAGGGGGAAAAGGTCCACGAGAGAAGATCAAGTCAGTCTCCTATCATACACCAAATTCCAGACTCACCAAATGAGTTTGAGAAAAGGAGACATGAGAAAATAGAGTCACTTGACAAAATGGCTGTTGATGCACGATTAAAGGCTCAACAGAACAGAGCAAAGTTAGCTGAGAAAGAAAAGGAACTCGTTCGACGACAAGGGATCAAAGATCCATCTCTAAAAGTTCCAAGAAGGAAAGATGTTTACTTCTCCAAACCTGTTATCATATCAGAACCAATCACTCAGCCAAAGCTTTCTCAAATTGATCCCAAGTATAAGGGAAAACAGAAGATTATCTTCAAGTCCAAGAAGGAATTAGTTAAAGAAGCTCAAATGGAGATAGATGAAGAATTAGCTAAGCAACTTAAGGCTAAGGAATTAAAGTCTAAACAAGAGATGCTTCTCAAAAGGAAACCTTCAGAGATCTCGACTGAAGAAAGGAGTACATGGCATGATGAACAATATAGAGTGTCTTCACCTAAAAGAACCATCTTCTTTAACCCTGATAGAGATTCCTATCAAAAGGTAAAAGTCATTAAGCCCACAAATTCCTTTACACCTCCTTCAGACCTCACTAAAGAAAATTGGGATATTCCTGCACCCCCGAATGGTGTGAAGTTCAATTTATGGCCAAGTGAAATTTATCTAGTTGAGGTTGATATAGACGTTGAAGAGATAGAGAAAAAATTCTTCGTGAAGAAATCAATTCAAGTTGTACCTGTATGGTCAAATTGGCAAAATTGACATACGAAAATTTAGAAAGATGTCATATGCATTCTTTCAAGGAAGAAGGACAAACAACTCTATATTCATGTTTTCTGAAGCTGATTTCCCTAAAATAAACCAAGCTGATATTAGATCACTGATCATTTGGTTGAAACAAAGGGTGAGTACAGATAAAGCTTATGCAGCTGTTCTACAATGCCTAAGGCAATATGTGCTCGACATGGTTATTGATTTCAGTGTTGACTGGGAGATTGGACAGCTGGGAGAAAAGGAAGCCGAGGAACTAAATTTGGATCTAAATATGGAGAATGAGTCGCCTGGGAACATTCTAAAGAAACCACACAGAGGTGTTGTATTCTCTTCTAAAGGTCGACTAGAATTCATGAGAATCTCCCAAAAACATCTATTCTCTTCTAAATTCATTAAAGGCATCATTGGTTTATTGAAGAGAATAGGCGATCAAGATGAATCACTGAGAGTGAAGATCATTGAAGAACTTACATGGTTTTCAAGTTTTCAGTATTGGTTAATAAACTTGAGAAACAATGTTTAGATTATGTTTTTTTTGTTTTGTTTTTTTTTTTTCCAAACATGTGAATGATGTTTCTGCTACTAGTAATTTAACTTATTGTTAAAATTCATTTTGCATGTTATTATTTTTATTTCTAATCCTTATTTAAGTAACCATAACATAGGGGGAAACTGTTGGAAAATATTTGTATGTGATTGTCACTTGAAATAAGTTGAGTCCTTTTATATATCTCTCTAACAAACATTATCAGAATGTTTCAGGTTGGAAAGATCTTGAAGATTCAACAAGTGTTTGAAGAATCAGATGTTGGAGCACTTGAAGTTTGCTTAGAGCACTTGCTGTACACATGGAGCACTTGCTGAACATGGAGCACTTGAAGAAAGCTAGTTGGATCAGCATGATCTCAAATGGCACATCTAGATCATATGTGGAGCATCAAGACATTGATGCATCATCTATAATATTTATCGCTCATCAGAAACATTGTTGGCACATCCTCAACTCTATGGCTCAACAAGAGTTGATGGCTCAACAGGAATACTTGTGGGCTCAACTCAAGTCAATGGATCAACATGATCACATTGATGGCTCAACAAGACAGCTCATAGCACATCATGTACAATGAAGGCACATCCAAATACTTAAAGGAACATTAGTTTCGTCCATGGTCCATCATGAACATGTGGTGGTACATCTTCAAGTTCAAGACATAGTCCAACATTCAAGAAACTACTCAACATGATCAACAACACTTCTGGAAGTTGATGACATCTAAGAAGACAATTGAGCAACATGATGCTCATGTTGCTCATCACATTTTCAATGTTGATCAAGAAGGTTCAAGAATTATGAAGACTCATAACTTGGATGGAACCCTAACAAAATACTAACGGAATTAGAATATTCCATCCATTCTCCATTAAGTAGGGCAAAGGTGTCAATTGATGACTAAGTCTTGATGACGTGTCAGCACCTGATTGGTCAAGACATGTCATGGGCTTGTCCAAAGCCTATAAATAGGCCCCTTGGGATCGATTATAAAGTTGCTATTTTCTGATCATTCCTGCTCATTCTGCACAATTGCTGCCTAGACTAGTCTTCAAAGAGCCATTTGAGAGTTTTAGTGTGTTTTACATTCAAACACTTGTAATTGAATCTTCATGAATATGAGAAATATTTGAATCATTGATCTTGAACATTAAAAAACGTTTTTCTATTAATTTGATTGATTCACAACTCTTTATTTTCCGCACTACTTGCCACTTGACGATTCTGAAACTCTGTTTCAGTATTTTCAACACTTGGACTATTCTAGTCTAGGTTTACTGAATTTTTCTCACTTCTTTATAGTTAGATCATGAATAAATTATTCGATAATTTTTGTTAGTTAAAAATATGATCTAATTGCCTTAATGAATCCATAACATTTCCTCAAGTTATGGAAAATGAAAAGGTTTTCTTTTAAGAGGTCATTAAAACTCATAGGTTATGGAAAATGAAAGGTCTCAGTTTTAAGAGTCATTTTAAATGGTTTTAAAGTCTTCCATAACTTGTCCTCAAGTTATGGAACATGAAAAGTTTTTCATAAAAACCATTTTAAACTCATTAGTTATGGAAACCAAAAGTTTTGACAAGTTTCAAAACTTGCCCTCAAGTTTGGGAATTTGTAAAGTCTCACTTTTGAATACTTTAATTCCAAACCCTAGAGTTTTAAAAGTTAAAATTGAACCCTTATACTTTATAATATTATAGGTTTAATATATATATATATATATATATATATATATATATATATATATATATATGTATGTATAAGAATAAGTCAGTCTTACTGTTAGTAGGCCTCATTCACGAAGCCGGTCTATAAGGGGGGTATAAGGTTACTGCCTATAAAATGACAGTTTAGTGGGTGTCCACTCTCACCCACCGCTTCCTTGACTGGTGGAGGGTCGTTAGCCGAATGGGTAGGTTAGGACACTAATTCTCATTATAAGTATAATGATAATTATAAAGTAACTAAACTTTTATTAAATTCCCAATCTTAGTTACTTAGGAAAAATGTGAATTTGGTGCTAACCGATGAAATTGCACTTTCCACCTTGTTAAGTTGTTAGTGGAGCGTGTGTGGTTAACCAGCACACTAATTTGGGACTGACAGTACGTGGCAAAGGGTAGCTTGATGTTAAACATAGATCTATAGAGCGTGTGTGGTTAACCGACACATTGATTAGGTGATCTCAAAGGTTATTCACACCTTGTTTGTGATCCTTGGTATCCCAAGGGAACAATCGAGATTCAAACATGCCATTGAAAAGTTCAATGAATCTCAAAGGATCTAGGAATTTCAGTTCATTTAAAACCTAATAATCAATTTCGTTTTTCATGGTGGAAATTGGTAAATCGTCATTTACCTACCTTAAATTATTTTACAATTGGCTTACGGCATCCCTCTTCCGAATTGTAGAATATTGTGTTGGGTCGTAGCCTTACTATTTCATTTTGGGTGTTATATTAAGGACTTAAATCAACTAACTTGAATTTCTCCTTGTAAATGTCTAGTTTAGACAACTATGGTCTTCCCAAATCTTTTGGAACACGCTTTCCTGTTGAAGATGATGGTTCCACAATTGGATCGTGGAAGTGGAAATCATACTTCACTTCCTCCACCTCCTCCAATAATTCTCCCTGACCCACAAGTTCGAAGACTTGAAAAGTTCAAGGTCACTCAAGCCCTATTGGCTAGCAAACACCAAGATGGAAGGTCTGTGTGTGCACATGTTTTGGATATGAAGTCACACATTCACATTCTAGGAATTTTGGGTGTCGTTTTCCCGAGGAAGTTGGCTGTTGACTGGGTTCTTCAGTCACATCCCGAGTCGTATAGTCAGTTTGTTAAAGACTACTATATGACAGATCACGACATGACCCTTATCGATCTTGCATATTTGCTTATTGCTGCTGAATCAGCAATGATTTGGCGCAACGGTCAAGCAAATTTGATTGGAAGATCTACTTCCCAAGCTGCCATGGACATAGGCAATGACATAGATAGTCCAGAAAAGATCCCTTCTCCTATAGGAAGGGAATTGGCTATGGTTAAAATATTTGACCATAAGAGAAAAGCGAGTTCTAAGATAGTTCCATGTGTAAATGCCAAAGAGTCCACTTGTTTATACTGCCATTTGAAGGGACATTGGAAGCGAAGCTGACCTAACTAGCTGAAAGATCTAAGAGAAGGTAAAGCCAAAAAGTTTGACTCTGTTTCAGGTAAGTCCACTATCTAACTCTATTAACTTCTTATTTGGAGATTCTTAATACATGATGTAATGAAATTACATTTTGATGTTTTGTAGGATCGAAGAAAAGAAAGGAAGCGTACAGGAAGAGCAAGCTAAATCTGGTCACGGATCTGATTTTTGAGCTGCTGCTTAGGAGTTATGATAGATTGGTTAGGAAATATTTTGTAACATAGTTTTCATATGTAATTGCATTGTAACAAAAAAAAAATTCCGCATTTTATAAATAAATAAAATTTTGATTTTATCTTATATCTCCTTACAATGGCATTAGTGAAAAATTGATGTTTGTATGTTTCTAGCAATATTGGAAAAATGGATTTGATTCTTTCGTCTGTGGTAGTGTCAAATTTACCAAATAAGGAAAGATTCTCATCACCCAAGTTTCAATTGGACAGAAACTTGGAATCATGCAACTGGTATTGTATGATGAATGAGAATTTTTATCTTTGGTAAGTTAAGACTAATTCCTTGTTCACATGTATATGTGAGTCAAGTGAAGGACTAGGGGATCGGGTACACTGGGTGTGCACTAGTAAGGTCCACCACAAAGAACGATAATACTATTCGTCATGATTTACTAAAGTTTAGTAAATATGGTTATGCTTACAAGTTTAAGTATAATTCCGAATCATTGGAAAAGTTCAATGTATGGCAGAACGAATGAGAAAAATTAAATTAGGTATAAAGATAGTATTTTCACCAATCTGAAAAGATGGGAGAGTACTTGAGTATCGTGTTTTATGATCATCTTAGTGACTATCAAAACCATGTCATAATTGATCCTCTAAGGATATCTTAGTGCATTTGTATGGCTAAGAAGAGGAATCGTGAATTGTTGAAATGGTTAAATCAAGAAGATGAGTCATACTTCGTTCCAAAAACAAGTCTTAGATTGATACTCCAAGATTGTGCCTTGAGTGAAATTAAATTAAGAAGGTTTATAACACTCATCAAATGTAGAGTAACATGTTTCTTACTCTTGTACATTTGAGATTGGTAAGTTGTGATGTCTTGGTAAGGACAAAGACCAACTAAGGCCAATTGTGTGAAGTGTTTGTCTTGATAAGAATCCGCACTAACTCTTGAATATTTGTTTGTCAAAGAATGGTTCTTGACAAGAGAGTCTGATATGTAAAGAAGTCAGTGGGAGTCTTAAAAGATCTTGACAAGTTTCAAGAAGTAATCAAGAATAAACCCTGTTGTTTATCACTAGCACACGAATTGAGGTTTGTAACCTATCGTGTTGTCATTGTCTTGTTTATGTGCCCATTCTAGTTAAAGTTGACTATGCACGTGAGTTCTATGAGTTCTCAGTTGTTTGCATAACATCCTAGGAAGAAATGGTAGGCCCTTGGGCTGCCAGGTGGCAAGAAATTAAGATTGAACAAGTCCAGTCCATATGAGTTTGGATTTGTCACTAACCTTGTCTTGTGATTATGGTTATGACAAATTCACATGGATAGAAACACATACACCATTAAATTTAAATGTCATAAGGTTTCTCTCCAATTCATGAAAATGATTGTGACGAAACGCTTTCACTAAGTAGATTTTAAGGAGATAGCAATTGTGATATTTGCATTCTCAAATTCGATTATGATTACGACATCCCTCTTCATAGTTTGAATTGTGAGAAATGGCAAATAGTCTGAACATTCGGAACTTATTGTCGTAAGTTCTGAATTGTTAAGACACACATGAGCTATCTAAGGAAAGGTGTAT